TCCTTTTGAAATTAAGTTTTGTTTGTTAATTAATTTACTATTTGTTATTTATCATGCATCCTTGGAGGTGTGGGTGGTGGGTGGGTTTTTTCTGCCGTAAAATCCAACCCCTCCTCAACGTGGTACGGCAGTGGCAACCAGGATGCGTCTTTCACGCATGCTGGGCGAACGGGGCTCTGGTCGTTTCCATTCCGTTGTCTTGTACTAATTCATTCCCCATTTACTTTCCAGGTACATCTGTGGAACGCATTTTTGATGAATCTGTAATTTGCTTGCACTCCATCATAATAAAATAATGTTTCCAAAAAAATGGTTTCTTATTAACCGACAACGCAAGCGTCACGGCAACCAGGGCATCCAGGCCTTGCGTTGAAGACAAGCTTGTCTAGGTGAGAAAAGGGGGAGCATATTTTCAAGGATTCGTCTTTAGCCTCTGACAGCTTACGTTTAGAATTCGATACAATAGCCCGGTTGCCTACAGATCCATGAGACACGTATTCTGCTTAATAGGTGATTCATGCACCAACTGTCTTATTCTGCGATAACTGTCCTTCAACAATAGACATCTAACTTCGGACTTGCCGTTAACTAGTGGACCACTTTCGTGTCCAGCTGCCGTAGCACTCCACTGAAGAACGAGTTGGTATACTGCCAAGCTGCAAAATCCCGGACAGGAGCAGGTTAGATGTAGGGGGTTGGTTCGAAACACGGCCCATTCGATCAGTAAGTTTGCGCCCTACCTGTTGAGCCATCTCGGTAACCTAGCGAAAAACAACCACGTGTCGGGCTTATCTTTCTCATCTGGTTTCTCACAGAACCATCAAACAAGAAAATCTTCGTAAATTTGTTTGCTCGTGATAGCCCATTCACCGCCCCAAATTATGTAACCTGACAAATAATATGTGACCTGAGATAATGACCTCACTAAACTTTTGTCATTCTCATCGTGATAGCGGACCGTGTTCATCTTGCTTACAAAGCCTCCTAGATATTAGTTACCGCCAACCAAATCGATAGCAAGAGTAAGCATCCTCGACTGGTACTTAAACGAGGGTCCTCCGCTATGACAGTCAACAAAAACGCGCCCCTAAAGGTCAAATGACCACCCTACAGATGTTATGTGGAAACGATTACCTCTGGTCATCCTTATTAACTTTATTAACCGCGTACTTGCTCTATCTGCCACAGTTCCGTTCGCCGAAGATTCGGGGATGCGGAGTGGACAGTTGCAAATTGGAGGCGGTAGCAATGATGATTTCGTTACGGCTTATGTGTCGCCACAAGTACACACGTCAACAACTGCTTGCATTGCTCTGTGTGTTCTGAGAACTGGTGAAGCCTACTTCAGTGCTAAACAATCATCTAGGTTTAACGTTGAACGACCATTATTAGGAAACCGGTGACCAGCTATGGCTTACACTGTTACACCATCAGTGATCCGCTGGCTGAGAATGAAGCACCGACAGTTATGTTATTGTCAACCAGCTATCGGGCTGCCAAAGAACACTTCGGGTCTTGCATTTAGGGCAGTCGATGATTCCATCGGGCCCCTTGGCTAACGAACACAATTACTATGGCACTTTGCCTTCAGGGTATTCTTGGAGAGGGACATATACCATTTCAAATCAGCTTTTTCTTACGATCGCATTAATAACGGTTTTCTCACATGTGAACAACGATCAGTGCAAAGAGCCAATACACCAGAGTTAGCTGCTAAACGCGGGCGGTTCCCAATATTTTCTTTCTGTTATCACCAGGATTACCGAGTATCATCTGCCTATGGAGATATTTAGACATTAGGCAACAAAATGTACCATTATACTTTTTGAAACCGACCTATCCTGAACTACAAGGAGTCTCACACACTTCGTGTTCATTACATTTGAAAATTGGCTAACGATGTAAATTCGCCGTAGATACAACGGCACTTTCATTTTTCGCTCCGTTTCAGAGGGTTAATCATAAACCGCAAATCCGCCATATGGTCATTTTTAAATATTCGCGCCAACAAAAATTCAACCAATCAGAATGGGGATGACGCCGCAAGTCGCGTGATCGCCATAAAAACACAGCGTTTTCCGGGGGATATTGATATCCCCAACAATTTCGTTTGGGCTAAACAATGTGTGTTCCCATAATTAGCTGGTTGACTTATAATCTTGTAACCATGGGAACTTGGATAACTTTCATTTAGTCGGGAGAGACACACTCTCTTGATTCAGGGCGATATGGCCGAAGTGGTTAGAGCGCGAATTTACTGATCGGAAGGTCCATGGTTCGAATCCCAACTCCGCCTCTCGACTTCCCCTGTCTAGGCTTGGGCAGCCTGGCAGTATCCAAGCCCTCGCGCAGCCTTCGNCATGGCAGTTAGGCGCCGAAAGGGTGCTACAGCTGAGCGATTTTTTTCTTGATTATAGCGCTCACCATCTTTCAATAAAGTCATGAAAATGCTCACTGCATAGGAACTGCGCTGTCGGGAGTCCGTTGTATAAAGATAATCCTGACGGGGTTCGGAACGCAGTCTCCTATGGTGGGAAGCTAGTTGTAACGACGCCCTGCCGTATGCTAGTCGTACTGAGGGTACCATCTCAACACTATGCTGATTCAGTCAGTCTGGGTGATCGACGAAGCGACCGGTAATTTCTTCACAAGAATTATTCCTAGCCTGCGTGAAAATTACCATGGACAGACTCATCTGTTAAAACATCGTAATTAGTGGACCCGTTTGAACAAGGCAGTAGAATGAATTCATTTTGTAGAATCTCGTCTGCCGCAACGCGTGTAAAACGGGATAAAATGAAACAAACAAAAATACAGGACTAGGTGCATCGTGTATGCAGAACTAAATTGTAACACGATCAATAAATCGAAAAAAAAACAAAGTAGCTTCTTCGGTCTTTCTGAACTTGAACGGATTAATTCGTTTCACACCTATGACGACAGACAAAATTGTATTCATTCCAAAACGCTGTTTTTCTCACTGCCTTTTTCATCGGTTTATCTTCCCTGCCTGCATCTTCAACTTCTGCGTTGGTGCGGATTAACATTTTTCAAACATGAACCGCGCGGACTTGATCAGAACAGTCTCGTCGGTGCATTGAATACGACGGAGTTGCGCCAACCGGGTCGCGTCTTTGTCGAGACCAAAAACGGGTTACAATCAGACGATTCAAGGTACCGTGTTGTAATGTGGTACGATTTTGAGAGAAAATAAAGCGTCAACAGATCATGTCAGGAATCCACATCGACTAGGTGCCATCCTCATCATCAACAGTATTACGACGACGAGGGGAAAAGCCTTAGTAAGGAGTGTGAAGAAAGCGGAAGGGAAGAGACGATGTGGGAAGAATAAGGCGCCAGCACACCTAGACAGCGTTCAACTAAACAGTCTGAACAACATGGCGAAGTAAAGCGACATCAGTGGGATCGACCCAACTTCCAGGAAATGACATGTGCACCGCTCGGATCGGTGAGGAGTCATGTTTCCAGTCACCTGCGAACAGGATCACATCGGGGGCTCAGCCAAGAAAACTCGAAGACCCCACAAAACCACCTTCATTTCACGTTGCTATGTCGTCCACGAACAACAATCACTTGGAACAGAAGACAACGATTTTTTCGGCATGCTCCAACCTCTCCACCTGGTAAGTTTTATCTGCTGCTCTAGCAACTCGGATTAGTTGGTTACGCACCACCTCGTTACGTACTCGATACAGTCAGCTAACTAGTACTGTGCTACGCGGTGAGCGGCCGGACGAGGTCTCACAACCAAGGAGTGAGACCGCTCTTACAGTTACCTTGTACACAACACCCTTTGGGTTCAGTGAAATTCACTCCTGATGCAAATTGGCGAATGTTGTCCGCACCTCGATCATGCGCGCGCCAACTTCATCATCTACAGTACGATCACGGCTAATGCAGCTGTTAGGATGCGTGAACCAACTCAAGCTCTTCAGTCTGAAGTCTCAACGAGATGGCCGAAGTGGTTAAAGCGCGAATTTACTGACCGGAAGGTCCGTGGTTCGAACCCGATCTCTACCTCTCGACTCCCCCTGGCTAGGCTTAGGCAACCTGGCAGTATCCCGGCCCTCGTGCAACCCGAAGTCTCAAAGAACCACAAGGGAATGGTGAACCTTGAAAACTTTGAAAGTGCAAAACGGATGAGGAAACATGGATCACTTCCGAAATTTTGTTAAAATTGCTGTGCGCGGACTTATAGTTCTCCACATAATCAAAACGGTCTTCAGACGTGATTTCGATATCTACATTTATGGGACCTTGGAATGTGTGCTCGATGATAACTTCGATGACAAAATTGAACAAAGAAGCGACAGTGCTGATGAAATACACATGAGCGCGTTCAGTAGGATTCGATGGTGCAATTTGTACTCAAGGATAAAGGCGGAGAGATAAATGCCTTTAAGCAGATCAGTAAACACGGCTCAGTAGATGTCACATCCTATCGAATAATCGGATTGGCTCAGTAGTTAGATCGCGATTATACTGACCGGAAGGTTTGTGGTTCGAACCCGACCTCTGCCCCTCGACTTTCCCTGTCTAGGCTTGTGCAACCTAGTAATATCCCAGCCCTCGTGCTTCCTCTGGGAAGCATGGCAGCTAGGTACCGAAAAGATGTCACAGCTGAGCGGATTCAATTGATCGCCGACCTCATCAGTTATCAGCTGCAGACGGTTCACCAAACACTGCGAGTGGTTGTGCTACTACTCACATGTTCCATCAGAACTATACACAATTACAACGGTAACGCCCTGTTTTTGGGATCGGCAAACAGGTGTGGTCCCTATCTTATAATCAGTAGTTTCCCTACCAACGCTTGATTTATTCAGGTTGGTTGATCGGAACAACATGTGGCCACGTCCACGGCTCCGTAACTGTCTACCTCTGAGAAAAGACTAGCAGGGATGACCACCAATCAGACTAAGAATCAAACTGCGTAAGCACATGCACAGATGTCACAACCCGCTAAAATCAAAACATACCTGCAGAAAACTGGTCGCACTACTCAGAAATCTCTGTTGTGCATAGGTGGCTCGGAAGTTATCATTGTCGTAGTAGGCCAGCAGACATTCTTTACGCCTCATCTTGCCTGAATGGAAAAAAAGACAAGAAGGGGTCTGAAATCATGATAGGAAGGAACCGTAACTGAAGCAATGTATGAGGAAAGAGAGCCCAATTAGCCTCAACACATGGCGAATGAAGAGCTGGAGACTGTCATCTTTCATCAGTTGAAATCAGCTGAAATCTAGTAAAAGAAAATATCACCTGACAGAGATCAGTTAGTCTCACAGGATGGTACTATATAAGTGTCTTCCTCTCCCAAGGGTCAACCATGATACGTGTTACCGATTACACTAAATATAAATTCGCAAGAATCGGAAGCCCGTCAGTTGAGAACAAACGGATACACTGATTCCTATAGTTACGGTTCGTATACGTGCACGTCAAGCTTGCGTTTTTATGAGGACAAATGAAACTGTCCACCTTCCCGAAGTCGCTGGTTCCACATGCTTCCAGTCCATGCCTTTGGATGCTTCTGATGCAGAATTGGGAGAACGCGGTTTTGTGATTTGCAAAGCGCGGGGCCAAGCCAGCAACAGGTGGTCTTCCCGAAAACTAATCGAGATATACACAGACTGCCAATTTAGAGTCCACACGCGACAACGGCTAACATTTTCCGACTCTTGTGATCAAACCACAAAGAGCTCCACTATGTATAGGTTGTTGTCCAGGTGGCTGTTGATCTGTTCGCCGAGCTCACCCGAGCTACCAATACTTCAACATATTACTAGCTCCATGATGTGCTTGCAGTGGTTCGGTTGTTGATATCGTGTGGTGCACCACAGCAACGTAGACTATCTGAGCGTGGTGCCCAAATAACTGCTCTCACCGGTCTTCAATCCGATCTGCCATTTAACAGAATCGCCGGCGCTACAGATAAAAATGAGGCATCCAGTAACTCTGCATGGAACAAACGGCACATTTGATAAAAAAATCCCTCAGCTATAACACATTTTGGGCGCCCAGATGCCATGGCACCCGAAGGAAGCACGAGGACTGAGTTACTGTCAGGTTACCCGGGTCTAGGTAGGAGCAGTCAAGATGCCGGGGTTGGGTTCGAACCATGGACCTTCCGGTCAGTAAATTCGTGGTTTAACCACTGAGGCATCTCGAGCTGTCTACAATTGATGAACACACTCGATGATTAGCAAGCTGGCTACATGTGCAAAACAACAGGAGTAACTGCGGGTTACGTTATCCATGTAGACCCGTATACGTAGTGGTAGGATGATGGACACACACCTTGTCCACCAATATTTACTTCGAATTTCGCAGTTCTTGAAAATTCCTCACCTTGCAGTGCATAATATTAGTTGATACGGTTAGGGAAAACTGCTCGCGATAATCCATTTGTTCCCCGGACTAAATATCAAAGACATAGCAACGACATTGACGTAGACTTTACCGGCTTTATATGCCATGCTTCGTTCAGACTGGGCGCAGTGCGTGCAAGGACTTCGATCTTGCAAGAAGGCACTTAACATGTACGGCATGAACCAAAAGACACCTTAAAAACGCTGAACACACGTGCTTTTCTACGAAATACTATTGATGTTGACCCCACCCAAAGAGGACTAATTTTGACATGCTACGAATTTTTCGCTCAAAAATGCACACACAAAAACTACCGCAGGGACAAGTACTCTTGTTCTTACTAAATCCGACGGCTTTAGCGATATTCTAGCCTCATCATCGTCATCAGCAGCAGCACAACATCAGTGTTCAACTCTGATGCTTCGCTGCCGTACAACCATGGGTATGAACCAAAAGCCACCTTAAAAACGCTGAACACACGTGCATATTGTCAGAACGCTTTTTTTCTACGAAATACTATTGATGTTGACCCCACCCAAAGGGAACTAATCTTGACAGGCTACGAATTTTTCGCTCAAAAATGCACACACGAAAACTACCGCAGGGACAAGTACTCTTGTTCTTACTAAATCCGACGGCTTTAGCGATATTCTAGCCTCATCATCGTCATCAGCAGCAGCACAACATCAGTGTTCAACTCTGATGCTTCGCTGCCGTACAACCATGGTTTATTTGAAAGCCTTATTGTGAAGAAAAGAATAAAGGTGGACGGGAAACGGATTTAGTGCTA